TGTTCGTCAGGGTTATCCACTTTTTCCGTTCCTATTTAACTTCGTGATCGATGAGGTAATAAGATGAACGGTGGAAGTTCTTTAGAACCCTGGTTTTCAAATATCCGCTAACGAAAACCTTATCAATCTGGAATATGCAGACGATATCGTTTTCGCCTTCGAAGAGGAGAACGCGCAGGTGTCTTTCGATGAACTGACCAAAGTCATCCTGTCTTTTGGTGTGCACTTTGAACCCACAAAGTGTAAGGACATGCTCGAGGAGGTGCAGTCACTGAACACGCTCCTTACAATCCCTTTAGGGCGTAAACTTGCTGACCGGAGGTTGGTGGTTCAAACTCAATCTCAGCAACTCGACTGCTTCCGTTTACGCTTGGGCATCCTGGCAGTAAGGTTAGGGCGTAAACTTGCTGACCGCAGGTTGGTGGTTCAAAATCAATCTCAGCAACTCGACTGCTTCCGTCTACGCTTGGACATCCTGGCAGTATCTCAACCCTCGCACCTCTTTCGAGTGGCGTGGAAGCCCCGGTTTTTAGTGCGACAAATGAGCTTAAATCACGAATCTGTAAGCACCATGTCACGTTTCCTAACTTGAAACATCTATGGTATCAAAAGCGGCATATCCCTGGATCTCAAGGCAAATGTGCGTATCAGGCTACAGTACGGGCCGTTTTGTTCTATGGCTGTGAAACTTGACCTATTCGAGCAGCTGAACTGAGACGTCTTCAGGTGTCCGACAACCGTTGCTCAGAACCATAGCTCGTGTGGATGGATCTGTAACGAAGAGATCAGAAAGCGAATTTCCGGTTGTACAATGGGGACTTCCACTGAAGAGTTTGCCCAGCACCAGAAGCTGCATTGTTTACGCCGTGCCCACAGAACCATGGTTTGCCGCAGAGAGTACTGTTTTCCGTGCCAAATTCAGAGTAGCGGAAACAGAGGGGTGGCCAAGTGTTGAGCTGGCAGAGGGGTATAGAAGAGAGTACGGAACCTTTGAGTGTTGTCGCTGCGAATAGCCTTCCAGGATGAGGACCGCGTGATCCTCACTGTGCCTGGTTGGAGATGCTGCAAGATATCGCTGCTGATTGACATTAGTGGCGTCCTTGTAGTCAGTTTTCTATCCAAATTGCCTGAATGTGTTTGGAAGTGTGGGCATTTCGCAATGATTGTAGTAGGCTAGTCCGTTCCCCATCCACCTTCTTTAGTTTCTTCAAAATAAAGCTTTCAAGTAAATTATCATCGTACGGCAGCGAAGTATCAGCGCTGAACACTGATGTCGAGGAAGATGATGATGATGAACAAAGCCGTTAGCATAAAACAGGACTGAGCAATGTTGTACATTCTTCATTCCATCTCACTAGGTATTGCCCCAAATCAAACTGCGAACTGAAATGTGCCATTATATTACTGACATTGAGATAGGTTAGTCTTTAGGGCGTAAACTTGCTGACCGGAGGTTGGTGGTTCAAACTCAATCTCAGCAACTCGACTGCTTCCGTTTACGCTTGGGCATCCTGGCAGTAACTCAGCCCTCGCACCTCTTTCGAGTGGCGTGGAAGCCAGACACCGAAAGGGTGTCACAACTGAACGACTACTTGGATTATTTTTTATTGCAGGAAACCTAGGAGGAATAGGGTGAAGTTGTAGATCGACAATAGTCTAAATGAAGGAACCCAGGCTCTAATTTCCAAACGACAACCGCAAAGATCGTTCAGCTGTAGCACCCTTTTGGTGCCTAACTGCCATGTCACCAGAAGGAAGCACGAGGGCTAGGATACTGCCAGGTTGCCCACGCCTAGACAGGGGGAGTTGAGAGGCGGAGGTCGGGTTCGAACCATGGACCTTCCGGTCAGTAAATTCGCGCTCTAACCACTTAGGCCATATCGCCCCCGAAAGATAAGTACTGTTCTAACGTTCACGTGAATATTGAACGAAAGTGTTCGTAGGTACCTTACCGTTTTGAAGGCAAGTCGATCGAAATCGGTAATGACACCGGGATCCAGTTGTGAACCAACGCTTCCAGGTTTTCTACTACCCACAGGTCGTCCAGTCTTGGTTATGTGTGAATGAGCCAGACTGGGGTGAAGTCCATCTGCGCTTCTCCCAAGAAGTTGAAACTGTTCTGGATCCACATTTGGTGGTGGATGACAATAGAGTAACCGACCCTAAATAAGGGACAAATTAGAAGGTTCATAGAAAATGCTACCGCTTAGTCAGAAGGAATTACAGTGGATAGCTGAGTGAGGAAGATAGGAAAAGTGCTTACGAAGGAGCTCCAGATGTTCGAACCTTTGTCAACTAAAGCATCAAGTCGCACATGGTAGGAAACGAAAACCCTCGTACAAAAGGTTTGCTTAGGAAAACCGTCCAAATTATTTTTATACGTTGAACCATAAACTTTTTTTGCTAACCAAATTGGGAATGACCCAAACCAGCTGGCTTACGTCCTAAAATCTCAAAGAGTGGGAAGCCCATTCAATACGAAGTTATACGCGCAGCGCTCAGGATAGCGCCGAAACTCCCCTGAGAAGTGGAACCTTTGACGAAAAGGAAACCCCGATTAACCCAACAAGGAAGGTATACCCAAACTAGAGCGGTGTTGATGCATCTGCGCTTACTATGATGGCTCTCTGCTACCGACGATAACAATAAAACCGTAGTGTATGACTCGTCCTGAGAAACTTATCACGGAATAAGGCATCCATTGTCTTCTACATATAATCTCATTAGGTGAAAGACAAACAGATAAATGGATCGGGCTTTCCAGTGACTAGTTCGTGGTTCACAAAACGCCGGCAGTATGCACGAAATGCCTTTATGGCATTCATTATGCCAACTACAGTGATCGCACTCCGAAGAGATCACTTTTGGACGGCCCCTCGATGTAGTGATTTCAGGGAAAGACAACTGTAAAGAGCTGACATTAGAACAGGCTGAGGTTCACTAAGCGTTCATGTAGTGGACTAACCGTACTTTTTGCAAGCATAGGTTGCGCGTTATGGAACAGTGGCTATAGAGCGTCACTCAGCAGGTAGTCCGCTAATCAATACCCTGAACTAAGTCCCGTCATTGGGTTGGGTCAAGAAAAGAATGCAGGGGGAAGCACGATGAATAAAACACAAACAACCTACATTATGTGTAATGTACTACTCATAAGGTTGCTGAAAATTCGTCAACAGCCCATGACTGCTTTCGCCCTTCTCGGGGCCCATCAGGTAGGCGCAATCCCCGAGTTTCCGTTAACCTTATGTTCTACTTGAAACCGAATTGCAGTGCGGATATACATGAGCCGCGATATCTGAAATATCGTAGCGACTGAAACATGAGGCGGCCTGGTGCAGCACATTCAGTTGCCTGAAAACATCACAAACGAGAGATTCAGCTAGGTTCCAGGTGAGCCTCGCAAAACCGAAGTAGTTTGCAAACGAGTGTATTTCGCGACCCTACATTATTGCCTAAACTAATGAAGGGAGATTGGGATTCGATTGGTGATGAAACGGAGATTGGGATATTGTGACCAGCTGACTGCCTGTTGATAGTCACACCTGAGGTCAGGCTAACGTGTGATCGGTACTTGCATGCGCTCTTTCTGGTTTGTACGGGTGGTTATTTTCCAGACCCAACTAAACGACTGAACCTACCAGCACACGTTTGGTCACAATAAGAACTTCATGAGAGGAGGTTACACTAATGTTGCATACCACGGTTAATCATGAGATGATTTGTTTTATTCGATCGGGTCGTATTCATAAACAGCCACATGGAACACCGTTCAAATGTAACTCCATCGCACCAACACACCATACATTGCTGGAATGTCTCTCTGTTTGTCCGGCGAACGGCACTAATGACCTGGAGAGTAACTTCGGCTAAATTCAGAGAGAACCCGAAACAGCAACCTGGTGAAAAGGCCAACCTTCCTCATGGTTTATTTCTTGGCTGGTCATCGCAAAGAAGGACCGATGAAAAGTCCACCAAACTAGCTAAGACAAAAACTGACGGCTTGGGTCACGTGACAATATTCTAGAACTGGCCACCTAATGAGCAATGTAACAAAATCCCTCCTCGGCATGTGAAATTCAGAAAAGGTATTGAGAGAGAAAGACATTGAGAACGTTACCTGAACGTAATCCTTTAGAATGAGCCGAGCCGATCGATCATAATGTGGATTGCCTTTGGCGGTCATGAAACTGTGTGAAACTGAAACAACAGCAAATGAATGAGCACAGTTAACAAGCGAAGAGGTGAGAAAACATTGGATCATTTCGTTCAAGCCAAACGGGGGATAACTAATCTGGACAAGACACCTGTATTGTTTAGTGCATTGACCCACTGTACCACGTTACAGTGCGAACACAAAAACAATGTCAATTTTTCGTCGGGATTAGTCACAAACTTTGTTGAATTCACAAAATCCATCATAGTTCGAGGTCTCAGATGTGGAAGGAGAAAAGATCAGAAACTTGAGTGCAAATAAAAATGTGTTTCACCCCTTAATTACTATCGGTGTAAGAAGAGCTCGGTCGGAAGCGGATTTATATGTTACGAAACACGAACCAACCGCAAAACAGACACGAAAACGACCAAAACTCGCTCGCATTCACTTTTAGAAATTCGATGTACTCATCCATATTCGTGACTAGTAGCTGCCAACTTAGCGTGGTGGTCAGACCTGAGTGCTGGTCACGGGCTAAACTGAATATAGCTTCGTTCCTCAAGGTTCAACCACGCCAGGAAAGATTTCAGCAATCAGATAAGGGGCAGCAAGCCCCTGTGCTGCAGGTAATCGTATTCCGAAGCGCTCTAGAGGTACAGTCGTATTGTCCTCTGCGAGTGAGGTGTGACGGTAGGTGACCAGCATGTCCGATTGTCTAACAGCTGATCGCGAACGCCGGAGCATTATTTAATACAATCGAAATACATTTGAAAACCAGAGGTTCTGGTGCTGCTCAAAAGCCACGTTTGTGACAGGCTTCGTGATAGGCTTCGAGGTAAGCCGAACTCACGCAGCCAAGCAGGTCGGACTGCTGAGTCACTGGCTCCTGGCGAGATCTCCCCAATGAAATCAAGACACCGATTGCCTCCCGGGTCATTCTGTTGAGTCAAATGCCACGAAACGAAACCCATCCTCATCTCACTACCTTGTGGGTTGAACAAGGGCTGAAGGTCAGGTGCCTCAAACAAACTTCATTAATCAGTCTGAACAACCAAGAAGTATCATATGCTTAGGAGCAGAGCTTGGTCCCCTTGATTTTTCAATTCCAACTACAACTAATACCAATGCCAATAGAACCCCGTCTGTAGTCCTAGCCATCTACCCTGGGCGCGTGAAAGTCTACGGAAATAGTCCTCCTGAGTTCACCGCCAAAAGTGGTGTCTGTCAAGTTTGCATTTTGTCATTTTTCCCTTCAACTTTGTAATCGAATCAGTTATCAAAGATACGTCCTCCATGTCTTTTATTTCCGGCGTGGAGCTTCTTGCCGCTGAAGGCCGAGTATGCGGAAATCCCACTAGGATACAAAATACACTAGGTAATCTGAATAATCTTACCATGCGATCTGATTTGTGCATTACACCTTCTACGCGCAGTCTTATTAAAAGATCCCTGCATCACCGAAGTTGGTCATGGCATCATAATTCTCAGAAGCCCGTCTGGTTTGTTGTATCACATCGGATGCCACAAAGTGAATGCTAAAATTACTAAGGCATGTTCTCCTTTCCTTGGACTTCTAGGATTGACAGGATATTTTCCTGTTGGTGGATGACAGGGTTTGTAGTGCGATAATATATCTAGTGTTGCTTTGCGGTTGTGAAGCCTAGTCTTTGTGCGCTGAAGTCGAGACATCGTTTGGGTTGTATTATCGGTGCCTTCAAAGAATAGCGGATGTACGATGGGAACAACGAATTAGCAATGCTGAATTGCGGTTCATTAATCTTCTCCGTATACCAGGGTGATTTGCCGTGCCCATTTGGTGGAGGCAGGTCCCGGTTAGCAGCTAAGACAAAATGGACAATGCATGACCTTGAGATGAAGTCCTAGCTGCGCTGGTGGATGTGATCTGCGCTTCACTACGGGCAGACGTTTCTAACTACTTAAAAATGGTACCATAAAAAAGTGAATCTATTGGAGTGGTATCAATGTGTGCATCTCCATCTTCGTCAATCATTCTTGAAGTACCGAAACTGCTGATGAAAGATTCCGGCTGTAACTACAAAGTGCAGTGGTTCCGATGACAGCAATCTCTTCACAAGCAGTGACTTCACAAACTCTAAACTTTTCAAAATAGCTAGGACAGTCCCTACTGAAGGGCTAGCCGTTTTTTTGGATCGCATTCAAGACGGCCTATTGACGCCAATTCACAAGTGTCAAACTCTAAATACTCGTCCAGCTCTAACACCCTTCCACCGCCTAGCTACCATGCCACCCGAAGGAAGCATGAGGGCTGAAATACTACTAGGTTGCCCAAGCCTGGAGAGAAAGCGCGATACCGGGGTTGGATGCAAACCATGGGAATTCGTGTCAGCAACCGAGCTCGTTGGAGCTCAAGCAAAACTGTAGGAAGCCAGCACGACAAAAGATACACTTGCAATTAGGTGCTCAAGTGTGAAGCAAGGTTGATGGAAATTCGAGGTCTATGCCCAGCTGATTAGCCCCAAATACCCGTAACCGTTAGTGGGCTGTCAAAGTTTTTATTAAACTTATAAGTAACGATGCAGTGGACTGATCAGGACGTACTAGGCTGTTCTTGCAAACAGCGCTCTGTGGAAATTCTGAGGGCTGATTAGATGGCCGTTGATCTGTTCACCTAGCTTGGCAATTAGCTTGCAAACGTTTCGTTCCCAGTCGACGGGACATCCTCAGTAAGCAGTTGAATGGGTACTTCTTCCTTATCTGTCTGCGTTTATATAATTTTCGAAGAGTATCTACTACCGTTTCAAGTGATTGGCTAATTGGTATATACCCTTCTTGAAATCATATTGGCCCGTCCGCGATTTGCCCTGTGTTGTGGCATACATATCTCGAATTTCATTGGTCTATTGGAAAATTTCTTTAAGGGGTTAGGTCCTTGAATAAGCTGGATAAAAGTTCTGCTAGCCGTTGTAGGTTCGGTTAGTAGTGTCTGGAAAACGAATGCCCGTTCATTTCGGCTAGTACGAATCACACGGAACTCGTTTAGGCCTCTATCATCAGCATCAGGGACAGCAACGTCACTGTCAACACTGATGGTTCACTCTCCCCAGAGTGATGACTAGCTGAAGATATGAACTGATTGCATCGGTGTGATTGCGACTTCCGCGCAACGCATCGGTTGATGAGATGTATATTTCTTGTCCGGCTTTATCAACACACTCGGCTTTCATCACATAGTGTCGATGGTGTTTGAACGGCTCGACGAGTTTTCGTTTAGAGACCAGAGAAATTTGACCATTAAATGACAAAAGACATGGTCAGCGCTCCTGAAATCTGACTTCACATCTCATCCCTTTTCAATGATACGATAGGCACAAATCAATCACATGGCAACTGAATATGGAGTGTAAATGGATGTGAAGATGCTTACATGCATGAGCCGCCAGCAATTCATGTGGAGTGGGCGGTGGCTCAGGTTGTGAGCTATCCACCTGCACATCCAGTTTTGGTTTCTGAAGATTGATGCCATATTTGAATTCCAAAACGGATCGGGGAATCTGTTCACAAATCTGAATAAAAGCACAAAAATGGAGCGACTGTAGAGCTTGAGTCTAAATTCAGAATTAAAAAAAGTGGGAGAACACAGTTTGGAAGGCTAGTGGTGTTCGAATTACGAGGTACAGTAACCTCCGAACAGAGAATACTGTCACAAGGAAGAGAATTTTAGTCTTTCCCGAAAGGCTCCCTTCGGGGTTTTTACACAAGGTTGTAGCTGTTGCGGTTTTTTATGAGAAGTCTGTCTTGGAGGGGTACTGTAGTGTAGTAAATACAAACTCCCTGAGGTTTCAAGATGTTCACAGCTGATGAATCTCCGTAAGGATGTAAAGGCTGTACAGTGCTTCTCCTTCTTCAGCACCGATTGACTCCACTTACCGGACCAAATCTTAGTTGAAAATCACCCAGTTTCCTCACGCTCACACCAAAATACAAACAAGTCGGCGGGAGACGATAAACACTTGTGGAAACTCACCAGTCCAATTGGAGATAGACAGTCACGCATCTCATCAATGGAAAGTATCCCGGCAACGACCAAGTCGGCCTTGGAGTATACAAATGAGGGCATTACGAGGCCGGGACAATCACAGAGAACCAGGCCTGGCCGGACACAGAGAGTCTGAGGAGAGAAAATGGAAGTCGGAGTGAACAGCAACGGTAAACTATGTGTTACAGTCAGCCAGGACTGCTCTGAATAGCGTTTTACGCCCTTTCAAAGCGCTCAATCAGAAATAATATTTTGAAAACAGTTGCCGAATGAGTAAGATAACATATTCTGTAGAGTTGAGAAGCCGAAATGGAAGTAAAAAGATTAAATCGTTTTGTATGCCACATCATACCTACAGTCGAATGTATAACGTAAGAGGCAATCACAAGCCTTGAAAAACGCAAAACACAAATCCAACGACACTACTAGGTACGCCGCCCCTCAGGAAATAGTCAAAAGCTATGAAAACGAAGCATGGGCCGACCAATGAACGGATCGGTTGAAAAAGGCGGGTTTAAAAACCGCTAGACACGCGAAAAGCCGTATCCACCGATGAAACCAACCTGAAAGTGCTTCGTTCGTCCTGGTGTGGCAGATACAGCAGTCTTCTTGCATCCCATCAGGGCATTTAGCGTGCTCGATTTGCCTACGTTCGGGTAGCCGACAAAACCGACGGTGAGTTGGGATGGAGAAAGACGAGGCGCGTTCGAGGGATAAATATCATTCTGTAACAAATTCAATAGTTCCTCAGTTCCAAAGAGCTGGGTGGACTGGATGCTCGAATCGGGGTCACTAAGAGAGGGACGGAACAAAAGTGAGTGAATGAATATCGTACCTTTAAAATCGGCGAAATGATGCCAATCGATCTCATTCGGTCAACAGTGTTGCGTGTCAGCCTGGAAATAATCCTAGAATGCCTTAGGAGCACAAACCCGGTGTTAAGGTAGCTTTAAGAGAAAGCCCTGCAGCTTGGTTACTGTTCGATTCCTAATCGAGAGATCTGAGGAAACTTATCGTAAGATGAACGACAAAACAGCCTGTAATATGGAAAGGATGACCGAAATTCAGAATATCGACCAGTGTGATCATAAATTAACTTATTGCTGTAACGTATCCGAACACTTTATTTGGGTCAGAAACCTGGTTACTGTGATCAGCCATGAAGGTCCACTAACAGCCATAGTTGTTAGTTTTTGCATTAGCTTATGACTGATCGGGCATACGCACACAAAAGGGCTGCATCAATCAGGAACGAATGAACAGGAGCGATTCAACAAAGGGCGAAACGACTCAGTGGTTAGAGCACGAATTTACTGAGCGGTTGGTTCGAACCCAACCTCTGCATCTCAACTTCTCCTGTCTAAACTTGGGTAACTTGGCAGTATCACAGCCCCTGTGCTTCCTTCGGGTGGCATGGCAACTAAGCACTGGAAAAGTGTTACAGCACATGTAGCTTGGTGGCGTGTTCGTGCGGCGATTCGATAAGATATTTCATCACACACCTCACTTAACGTCTTCACATAGACGTGGGTGCAATTTTCGAGGACAAATAATATGTGCGGTCCATCGGACACACCAGAATATGTCATTCTGGGCACCAATCGATCATTTCAACCTGGAATACGGCGAGCTTTCTCATCTCGCTGAGTAACCAGACTTTGCACCAGTGTGGTATTTGGGTGAGGTGAGAGGTCAGGATCCAAAACAATATCAGAAGTAAGCTAGGTTCTGATCAACTATAAGGTTGTGTATAAATTTATAAAAGTGGAATCCTTAAATTTAGGTAATGTCAGTATTTCCAAAAAACATTTCCCATGCACATCATCGCATTAGTTGAACATGTTATTCTAAATGCATGAACCACTTTTTTGGGCCTCGATCCCAGTGTTTCCTGATGTCTGCCTCGTCCTTAACTAGGTGCCACATCTGACTAGCTAGCAATCCATGCACACTGAGTCTTTAGGGCAGTCAGACGTTATTGTATATTACTCTTGCCTTGCTATCAGTGAAGATGGTGATGATAAACTTCCAACTGTTTTGCTCCATTTCAATAAGGCGTACAAACTTGATTTTATCGACTAGAATAAAACAGCCCTATCAATCAGTCAATAAAAACAACGTAGCTGGACAACTGACAAAAAGTGCATTCACTGGTCACAGCCTGAATTGTTTTGGATGGATATAATTCAGTTAATCTGGCTTTCTGGAGAATGTGAAACGAGATAGACGTCATGGGTGTGGCTTTGAACCACTTATACGGTGTTTTTTCTGAAGTAGTGATTTCTGCTCGTTTTCTACCATGGATAATTTCGGCCAGGACAAAATGGAAATGTGAGGATTGTCCCCTGGGATGTACTTTCTAGGTGAGCTTCTGTAAGGAATTCACGACCAGAAGCCGCTAAAAGCGCTTCACAAGTGGAAGAGATTGCCGTCCTGAAGAGGAACCAGGGTGACACCGTAGCAATGCTTCAAGTACATCTCACAAGTCAGCGACATACTGTTAAGTGCGGATGTAGTCAGCGGAAAAAAAGGAGCTCTCAATTGTTAAAGAGAGATCAATGGTCCCCTTGGCTTGGCCGATTCGTCGAACCGTGTTGGAAACCTGACTACTGGTGATACCTGGGAAATTCTGCTCTATAATCATCCCAAATTTACGGTGTTTCGGAGACTTGGTGATGAAGTGCGCTGGTAGTCAGGATGTTGGAAAGGCTGATTCAGTTCAAGGTCAAACGAAGAAACTCTTATGGATTGTCGTAAAGATAGCTTAACCACAGTGTGACACTCACCATTGATTATTCATTCTAGATTGCCAAATTTCTCCAACTGCAACTACGTTTTTCAAATGTACAGTTTGATAGGTTTTTTTTATTTATAACTGAGAAAGAATCGTCATCATCATTACGCACCAGTAGTGGGGACCAGCGCTTAGCTACACAACCATGGACAAAGGCTCCTGTAAAGATTGAAAAGAAAGCGTGAGGTGTACTCATCGTAGTAAAATCCAGGTTACCACGGTGGACTCCTCTCCACCCTGCTGGAGGAAGACGCCATCAGTGAGTTGGCGCCTGATCCCTTGGAGTTTCACCCAGTATAAAATGACATGTGTGGTGGCGCCCATCTCATCATAATGTCCTATGAGGACAAAAACTGCTTGGATAAGCTTGCTTAACTTGTGGGCGAGAAAGTTTTACCGAAAACTTAGAGAAAATTTAGACCGAAAGAGAGCATGATGTGAGTAGTCTGTAAACATCGACGGCTAAGAATAGAGACTCGTTATCGACTAGTCGATAAATTTGGCTCCGCTGTCATTTAACAGTATGATTTCCAGGTGAGTCTCTCGAAAAAAACAAATTTGCTTGCAAATTAGTGTATTCCGCTGGGATTTACGGGCTTATAGATGGGAGCCTATAAATAGCGACTACTAAAAGAAACATGAATGGATCCGAGGAACAATATTGAACAAAAAGGAGGATAGTCTGTTTTAGGTTGAAAAAAGCTCAGCTGTAACACCCTTTCGGTGCCTGGCTGCCATGCCACCCGAAGGAAGCTCGAGGGCTAGGATACTGCCAGGTTGCCCAAGCCTAGACAGGGGAAGTCGAGAGGCAGAGGTCGGGGTCGAACCACGGACCTTCCGGTCAGTAAATTCGCGATCTAACCACTTGAACCATCGGTTGATCGAACTGATGTATGCAGCCAGTGAGGTCATTCAGTTAACCACACCGTGGGAAGACCAGTGTGACTATATCTGGTCAGCCCTTTAAGAGGACTGCTAAACTGCGCACAAGATACCAATAAACACAACCCAATATGAATATGGTGGAAGGAACACATGCCTATAAACCACAAACCGTTCAGATGTGGAGACCTTGTTTTTTCCTCCGGCTTGGCTTTCATAGGAATGAACCGCTTCGTTGTCTTTAGAAGCACCCTCCAAAGGGCTAAAGGACGCTGGTGGGTCCCCATCGCTTTCTTCTTCTTCTTCTTCAGTAGATGAGCCGTTTTTAGCGGTAGATTCACTGCTATCACTGGAAGCATCGTCAACCTGGAGTTCCTGAAGACCCGAGTCAGTCAAAGAATCACCATCGAATTGCTGTTTGGCGAGACTGTCTGGATCAGTTACCGGGTGGGCAGCAGTAGCAGCCAATGTAGCCGACCAGAATATGGCTCGTATGCCATTCGACTGAAAGTACTTGCTCCAACAAGAACTAACAAACATAGAACAAAACAAAACAAAAATAAACAACCCGGAAACGGCATTTCGCGTGATAAAAGTGAGCTAAGTCTGAGGTGGATCCAAATAAGTCTGTGAGCCAGAGTGCCTGTCGCGACCACAAGATTGTGCGAAGGAACATTCCCCCCCTCTCTCTCTCTATTCATATGGGGTCCTCTTTATAGGAGTTGAATAAGGCAAAGCTACTGATAGGAACCACCATACAATCAAAAAACCTGTGCTAGTGTGATGAAACTACCACCCATCCAATAAAACGGATTTATGTTTCGAACCAAACACGCATCTACGCTCATCTTAGGATTTCATACAACTTCAACCATCTTGTCAGTGTGCTTGATAAATGTTTTCTTGCACAAGAGACTCCTGAGACGCTTTCCGAGTAGATAGTTGAATGGATACAGAATACACAGACGACATAGTTTCCCCTATGTCGGGATCTGAGAAAGTGTAGTGTTGTTGCAAGACTGGCTGGGATTCAACCAAAACCTGATGCTTGGTGATGAACCAATCAATGGATTTGCCCGAAGCACCGCTCTACCCCTCCCAGCTATCCGGCCAAAGTCCTCTTCAAATACAGGAGGTTGGGGCGACCCTTTCCAAGATTCAGTAAGTTGTCTGACAAGAGAAAAGCTTAAAACGCTGCAGGGTAATTCAAACTTCTAGTTGGTTCAGAAACAAGACCAGCGTAAGCAGTTATTTTAATAAATCAGCCGGGGCATTTCTCTAATCAGCTAATCATGCTTAGATACGTCGAAATGTTTTGAAGGAATGAACTCAAACTCAAACTGCGACGCTCATTCAGTTGTATTGGTTATCTCACCTACTTCCAAAACCAAACGAGTACCTGTCTCGAACAGTATTTTTCGCTCGGATATGCTCAGGGCGTAGAACACAAACGGAAGGTCAAATTGGCATAAGAATATGGGAACTAGAACCATCACAATCAAGCCTATCAATATTCACTGCCTCTCTGTAGAAGGAACCAAGAATGATCGACAGAGATGGTTGTGGACACTGGAAGACATGACCTAGATATGTCTTCCCTCCGTTCGATACGGGTAGTCCGCCCCAGAAGAGACATTTTAGACTTCTACTGGGGAATGGTCTCCCTTATGGGGATTTGACATTACATAGTGATTAGAGGGAATGCTATTGTGATACCTCGTGAGGAAGGGCACTGTATTATCCAAAATTCATAGCTAACCCTTCTTCAAATTGACAGTGAAGCATTTTGATGAACGGTGTGCTAGAATCACAGGAGTCATAGTACAATAGTTTGGGCTCCTACTTTCACTACGCAACATTCCCCTTAAACTCTAAAGCCGCTGAACGGCGAGAAAAAGTCAAATTACTGAAGGAGAACACAGGCGAGTTTACTTGCAACATACCGTTGTTCCGGCGTCAGAAAGTCCGCCTTGTTCACCAATACCAAACAAATCTTATTTGGGTCAACTTCACGGGCGTAGGATTCCAAATCTGAACAATAGTACAGTAGTGGTTGGCGTGCATCGACAATCTGCACTAAAATATCGCTTCGCTCAACGACCCGCCATAGCTGGCGCCAAAATTCAATATTTTTCTCGAAGGGCGTGAGTACAATTCCATCGGTTTCTTCCAGCCTGTCAAAGAGAAAGGTGTCAAGATTGAAGGATTTCTCGGGAACGGAAGCAAAAACAAGGGGGAAGCGGTTCAATATAGTGCTTTCTTCATTGGGAAGAATCATCGTCGAGGAGGCATAAATTTTTCATGTGGCAATTCATTGTCAAGGAGGAAAACCTACAACCGATGGAGAAACACTTTCCAATCCCTAAAACGACGGAGTTCCTACTTGAGAAGAAACGAAGTAGGGAACGTATCACATGTATGGAACTACTGCGTTGAAGCATCACTGAAGAATTTCATGGGAGGTAAATCGCATGCGACAACACTGGACCATAAAGTGAAGGAGTACACGACAACTTGATAAGTACTGAGGTTCAAATAAATGCCATTGTTTTCTGAAAGATCCCCGTAATGAAGTTGGAAACAGAAACTTGGGGCAAACGGATCTTCAATGATTCGCCATCTGACCACTATTTGTCCTGCACACGACTAAACCCATAAATGCGAATCAATTGCATAAAGTGAGAAACAACGGCCGTGTTAGCCGGGGACAAAGTCACTTAACGCAACTGACTGTCGTGACTCGGTGTGCATCAGCGTCCGACGGGAAGCGAACATTTACAAGGAAGTTCAGTAGGTGGTCATCTCAGGAAAACTGTCAAGCATGTTTCAAGCATTCGTGGTGATGCGCGACTGAGAAGCCCTGACAGGCGGGTCAAAATCGACCAATACAACCAGGGCATTTATTGAGTCCTCGTTCGAAGCGTCGGGCAAACTAATCACACGCCCAAGTCTAAACACGTTCACCCGTCCAGATGTGATAATTCAGGTGGGTCTAGCAGGCGCCGACGCAGTGGTAGTAGCATGCTCACTTCGCGCGTTAGATGTCCGGAGCTTAAACGCCACCATGTCCAAGGACGGCGGCACTAGGTAGTTCGTGTTTAGGACAGGTCATGCGTCACTCATTGTGTCCCGCTAGACTCCATGACCCTTGGCTAAGTGAGTAGGCTAAACCAGAACTCTGGATATGAACACTAGCGCTTGGACTCAGTCACTACAAACAATTCACAGGCTCATCACGTTTCATCAGTGGAGAATATGCCAGATCACCAGGTACCCATAAGATTCGGTCAAAACAAAGCTAACAAAATTCCATCGCACGCACATACAAAACTGGTGCAATACAGTAAGAAATTTTTGTCGTGAAACAGAGAGCGAGCGGTGTGGTTTTTATCTGTCGTTCCTCCTCAGTGAAAACAATTCGTAGAGGAGATATTTTGATTTTTCTTGAAGGTGCGGCCATGTAGTTGGCTGACTGACATTGGGTTACCAACTCAAGAGTTGAATTGCGGGCGACGAAACAATGGGCTATAAATCTTAGCATCTTCAGCTACCTTACTGTTCGATCAAGAAGTATGATCAGGCCGGTTGATCCGTTCCCAGCTGGGGTGCATACTGCATGCTGAGCTTTCTTTTAAGGTCACAATCACTAGTTAATTCATTAGAAGCCCATACTCTGGAAAAGCCATTGCACCCAAGGAGATGCAGACAAAAAGACAGAAGGCATTTTACTTTTGGAAAAGCCCTATAGTCGTTTCAGAATGGAAATATTGGATTAACATTACTTGACCAGTGAACGCCTCCATGCTAATAGTTCCTCTTTCTCCAACCGAACTAACTCATCGGCCGACATATCTTTGGTCCATTTGGGTCTGTGAAAGATTTCAAAATATAGTGTAAAATCAATTATATGACGGGGGATACAACATTTCAGTGAAAAAAAGCAATACGAGGGTCTGAGACACCTTATTCAGGCCAGGACCAGAAGAAACAAGGCCATAGACTGATAAACCTTTTAAGCCATCACTCTGGGTAGTCTTCCCTAAAATACCCGGCAAAATTGCTAAACCAAAGACCGAGGGAAGGGCTTTTATGGAACTAAAAACAACTCTCCCTTCTTCATTACCACCCCTGCAACAATTGGTTTTTAGTTATAAAACGATTTACTAATATGTAACACGCTAGTGACAATCTGTCATAGGATGATCAGAACTGCCTTTGAAAGGCAAAAACAACCGTACGACTGAATACATCACCGGGCGAAGTCTAGTCTCTGGTTACAACGGGATTGAAGTTCACAGCTAACTGCCTCTTACCCCATACTGCAAACCATGATAATGCAATGGAACTATGATATGGGCTCTAATAGGTAATGGGACGTTATGTGTTTAGCCCTTTCGCTCAAACAGAGACGGTGCTTGAGTCCGTATGACGTTGCTGTGTGACATAAAAACAACCGCCTCCACTCCAATGAACAGGCAAACACAGATCAATAGAGCGCGACATCCTACCAACAGATCAGAATTATATCATGCTCACATAGATAATAGCATCTGTTCAAGGAAACAACGAAGCTAAAATTAAAAAATAACCCCTGGATCTTCCCGACAGATCCTCCGATTCCGGTTAGCACTTGGTAGTTCCTGTATGAGACTAGAGAGAGCCAAGTGGTCCGTGCGCGAATTTATTGGCCGGAAGGTCCGTGGTTCAAACTCAACCTAGGTAAACGAATGCTCTGTCTAGGCTTGAGAAACCTGGCAGTATCCCAGCCATCGTGCTTCTTTCGGGTGGCATTGCAGTTAGGCACCGAACGATTTATATTGATTTAGTCTACTATTCTACTATGTCGTCCGTTCGTCTCACTACTGTGCCAGTTGTTTGCAGGTAGATTGCATCTTCTTGGACCGGTAGTGGTGAGTGGAGCAGTTCAATTTTGGCTCAAAACCATATGTCTTAACATGTTAGGGGCTGTTTCACAAGAAGAATTCTAAGTGTAAAGGCAATGTACACCGCCCCCTGAAGAGATCCTCCTGAAAGGCGGAAAATCAAGGGTGGACGCCAGTGTTCCATATCAATCTAAACAAACTGAGGCCAAGCACACATCATAGCACTTTCCTGTGTCACAAAACCTTCCTGAAACAGTTCCGGACACCAAGTAAATCCATTATGAACAACAACTGGCAAAACCGGATGAAATATTAAGAGATAATAAGTACAGATCCAGTAACGAACTGACCTCCGTGGGATCTTGAGAAGATTTTGATAGGAACTGTGGAGTTCTTTGAACTTGAGACGCGAGACCACAGACGATACACCTGATATATCATTTTGTGATAATAATCTGAAGGGCCTTTTCTCTGTAGAGAATGTTGGTCAATTACACCTCCGTGAGCACGAACTTACGTGCAGTAAAATCGGAGTTAGCCAACTCAGCAATATTAAAGAATTCGGATAGACTGTTCTCCTCTGTTATGGAACGGACTGGTAAGCGTGAAAAATCCTCATTATTGCAAGTGGTATGTCTGTCCTGTGAGGTAGTTTAGGAGTTTCAACAAACTAAGAACAAACCGAGAATCCTTTTTGAGAACGCGAAGACTTCGTTAATGAACGACCAATACCACCGCCCTTTACCATTTGTTTGGCTGATTGGATTTCGGCCACTTAGAAACTAGAACAGGATCGATTTGAAAGCAAACATTCGGAGATCAAATGAAGTGTCATGGTCTAGAAAAAAGACAGTATGAAAAAAACTTTTCCTCGTTGCACCGACCTAAAGCTGCCACCTTGACGTGGTGGTCGGGCTTGAGTGCTGCAGCGATCCCGTGGGCTACACTGGCTGGAACTTCGTTCCACAAGGTGCAACCATTCCAGGAAGGCCAAAGGGGAGCAGCCAGACCAAGAGCAGCGAGACCCCGTACTACGAGTAATCGTGCTACGAGG